AGCAGGAGATATATCAGAGCTGAAGCAAATACAGAAATGGTTTACAGCTCACATTGATCCAGTAAAGCACCTAAATTACTGGGAATGCCTTCAAGTCTTGAACATGTACTCATTAGAGAGAAGAAGAGAGAGATACATGATAATACATACCTGGAAAGTACTCGAGGGCCTGGCCCCAAATCTGCACACTGCCATAACAACATACTGGAGTGAGAGATATAGGCGGAAGTGCAAAATAAACCCAGTGAGAAGCAAGGGATGCAGTGGGGACAATAAAGGAAGAATATATCAACATTTGGGGTCCCACACTATTCAACATCTTACCAGAAGATATCAGAAACATGGCTGGAACAAGTGTAGAAGCTTTTAACAGGAACCTGGACAAGTATCTTCACCAGGTGCCAGATCAACTAGACTGTGATGGATATGTGAGGCAGTGGGCCTCCAGCAGCAACAGCCTTGTTGACCAGGCAAGCACCAGACAAGCCTGGCCCATGGCCAGGCTCGGAGAATAGTGAAACTCTCGAAACTCTTTAACCCTTTCAGGGTCGACAGGCCCTCTCAGAGAGTTGTTCTCAGGGTCGCCCAAATTTCAAAAAAAAAAAAAAAATCCCGTGAAAAGATAGAGAATCTTTTCCCGATCATAATGACACCAAAAATATGAAATTTGATGGAAAACTTACAGAATTATGCTCTCGCGAAGCTAGCGGTCCCGACGATGTTTATGCATAGGCGATTTTGCCCACTTTGAGCCCTATTTTCGGCCAATTCCACTGTACTAGTCGACAAAAATCATAACTGTTTCGCTAGAACTCAATTTTTTCTATTGAATGAATACAAGAAACCACCAATTTACCGATTTCAACTATCCAATACAGTGGTCAGAATTTAGCAATTTTGCCAATTTCACACAAATTTCAAAAGATGCCAATTTCCAAATAGGGTCTAGAATAAACAAGAAAGACATTCCTGGCACTAAAATGACATTTCCTCTGTTCATTAGTCACGTCCCAATGCCCCTCTTACATTCTTTTGCTTTCCACTTTGAATTTTTATTCTCACAAAAAATAGAAGATTTACTGTTATGCAGACTCCTGCATTAGTGTAAAAAATGGTATAAATAATATCAGTGCACTTGTGAAAGAATATTAGACTCACCAGTTGAAGTGTATTGGACGCTTAGCATGATTTGTTTACTTTTGAACTTTGGTAAAAATCGAACATTTCTGCTGCTTTGAACTCAATTTCAAGGTACTGTTCATTGTAAAATCAGTCAAAATCATCTCAATTTCTGTAATATGTCTTCCATTCTATAGAATGAGACCAAGAAAACTAGAATAAAACAATAAATACCATACGAAAATACAGTGCAAAGTCGCAGTTTTAATCCAAAAACACGATCAAAGTTTTTTTTTTCTCATTACACACTGTGTGCTGCAGGATTTTTTTTTATACTGTGCACACTGACCACATAGACCCATTCTTTCAAATGTAGGCCTACCAGCTTTCTCTCACTAGATTTGAGGGCGCTAGAATTTAGGCGTACTAGTAAGTCAAAAACCCTGGTGCGTAAGCCATACTAGTACGGCCGAAACCCTGAAAGGGTTAAAGGTAAAGGTAAATATTTTATGAAACACTTGGCTTATTTGATCATGGGAATATTTTCCTAATCAGTGACTTTATCAGTCCAAGACAGAGAAGAATGGTGGAAGATATGAGAAGGACAAGGTTCGAGGTAATCAGTCCTAGCGATGATATGCATTAGCCTTGACAAAAATACAGCCTGTACCCAGAGATGGGTATTATATACAGTAGTCCCCCCATATCTTTGGGGGTTACATTCCAAGACCTGCAATGGATACACGACACCCTGGATAGAAGCGAACTTTTATTTATTTATTTATTTATTTATTTTATGTCTTTGCGAACAGTACATTGAGATTTTGTATTTGCAATAGTGGGTTGCAATGCAGAGAGAGCCTCTATTATGCCTAGACATTATGGGCCAACTTAACATTATTGGCTTACAGTCTACTTAACACTAAGGAGTATATCATAGTTGTACAGTAGAATATTAATTATAAGTGAATCAAATCTGTATAAGACAAAAGATATATTCATATATTCAAAAATGCTTTTTGTGAAAACAATGATTCAATTATATTCCTGTCAACAATGGATAAAAGGTTCAAAGTGATTGTTGAAGTTATGATGTGGGAGTACATAGGTGAGTATGTGTGTACTGAGTATTTAGCATTTAGTCTAGGGTGATTAAGTGGCTTTGAGAAGAGTCTTAAATTGATTTTCAGACTGGGTTACTTTAATATCTTCTGGTAATGAATTCCATATTTTTGGGCCCTTTATGTGCATAGAGTTTTTACACAGTGTGATATGGACATGAGGGATATCAAAAAGAGATCTGTGTCTTGTGTTGTGGTCATGTGTCCTGTTTAGGTTTGTGAGGAGAAGTTTGAGTGGAGGGTTTATATTTGTGTGTATTGTTCTGTGTATTTAGTAGGCACATGAATAAGTATGGATGTTCTTAATGGTGAGCAGATTCAGACTTTTGAAAATTGGTGGAGTATGCTGGCGGGAGTGGGAATTTATTATCATTCTTACTGCTGCCTTTTGCTGAGTTATTAGGGGTTTTAGGTGATTTGATGTTGTTGATCCCCATGCACAAATTCCATATGTAAGATAAGGGTATATGAGTGAATGGTACAGTGCCAGGAGAGCTGATTGTGGAACGGAGTACCTTATCTTTGATAGTATGCCTACAGTCTTGGAGATTTTCTTGGTGATTTGTTGTATGCGTGTCCGGAACTTAAGGCTACTGTCAAGGTGGATACGTAGGAATTTTCCCTCTGTGAGTCTTGTGACTGATGATCCGTTTAGCATTATGTTAATTGGATCATTTGCAGCTTTGTTTCCAAACTGAATGAAATAGGTTTTATCAGTATTCAGGGTAAGTTTATTAGTCATCATCCAGGCAGATATTTTCTGCAGTACGGCATTGACTGTGTTTGCTAGTGTGACTGTGTTTGGGTGGGAAAAGACACATGTAGTGTCATCTGCAAATAATATGGGTTTGAGTAGCTGTGATGCATTGGGTAGATCTTTGATGTAGATGAGAAAGAGGAGTGGTCCAAGGACGCTTCCTTGTGGGACTCCTACTGTGATTGGTTGAGTGGAAATGTTTGCATCATTTGCATACACATACTGAGTTCTGTTACTAAGGTATGATTTTAGGTAGTTGAGGGAGTGGCCTCTGATACCATAGTGCGTTAATTTGGAGTACAGCAGTTCATCGTCGACTGTGTCGAAAGCTTTACGTAAATCAATGAAAATGCCCAGCGGGACTTCTTTCTTTTCGAGTGTGTATGATAGCATCATTTGTGCTTTTATTATTCCTGAATCTAAATTGACAAGGGTTTAATATATTGTGTGAGACGAGGTAGGAATAGATCCGTCTATGAATTAATTTTTCAAAGATTTTAGAGAGCAGTGGTAAGTTAGATATTGGTCTATAGTTATTCAAGTCAGCTTGGTCACCTCCTTTGTGGATCGGAGTGACCCTCACTATTTTGAGGATTGTTGGGAAGGTAGATGATTCAATGGATTTGTTCAATAGCGTTGCAAAAATTGGTGACAATACTTGAAAAGCTTTTTTTGTATATAAAAGCAGGCAAGTTGTTTATGTCTCCTGCCTTGTTTTTAAGGGTGTTTATGATGAGCGTAACTTCTTTGGGGTTGGTTGGAGCTAGGAATAGCGTATTTGGGTAGGTACCGGTGAGGTAGTCTGATTGACGGGTGTTTGCGCTTGGTATTTTGTTCGCTAGATTTTTTCCTATGGTGGAGAAGAAAACATTGAGTCTGTTTACTGTTTCAGTAGGTGTGAGTAGGGGTTCATCTGATTTTGTTAGTTTGATTGTTTTGTTTTTGGATAACTTTTTAGTTCCAAGAATTTCAAATAGAGTTTTTCAGGGTTTTTTCGTATCACCTTTGATGTTATGTAATCTATTTTCATAATACAATTTTTTAGATCTTCTTATCAGGCTGGTAAGAGCTGACGAGTAACGTTTAGACTGTTCTCTAGTTATTTGACCCATTCTATACTGTTTTCATATTTGTGCTTTGTGTTAATGGATTTGAGGATGCTTGGTGTTAGCCAGGGATTATTCAGTCTCTTTATTGTGATCTGTTTAGTTTTTTGGGGCAATGTTCGTTATAGAGGCTTTGGGTTTTTTTTTAGAAAATAATTTATACATTCATTCTTATCTCATTTTGCCAGTCAGTGTTATTCATAGCTGCTATAAAGTTGTATAAGTCATTTTTTGTTTACATACATACCAATGATAAAGTTTAATTGATAAATTACACATAATAAGTCAAGAATTAGCACTTTTCACTGATGGGAAGCACTTCATGGCTTCTCTTAGGCTTTGAAGAACTGCCAGAATGACAACTTTATGCTTTAGAGCTATTATTAAATGAAATTAAGGGTTATTTTTAGGCCACAGTAAATTGAGGTTAACTGAAACCGAGGAATCGGAATTTGCAGATGTGGGGGGGGGGGGTGTTCTGTATTTTAGACGTAAGGTGTAATGGTTGGTGGCAGGATTGCAGCCAGTCAGAGTCAGTAAGTTTATTTAGGTACAGATTCACATTAGTACAATTATCATACATAGTGTAAATCACCTAGAATAATCCCAGAAAAGTTAGACAAAGTGACTTATTTCCATTGGGTTCCACCTGCTTCTAATATATGATCCCCTTCTCCATGCATATGTTATACTTTTACCAAGACTGATGGACTGAACACATCTTCAGGCTGAGGGACTTGATTATTGCAAACTTCCTTTTCACATCCTCCACTGCTTTGCTTTGGACTGATAAAGCCACTGGTGGCTGAAATGTTTCCACAGTAAAGATACCCAAGTGTTGCACTAGTGTCTCAGTCACTTTAGTTATGATTGTAATAATTGTGGTATAATTTGCAGGTGTGCGAAATGTGAGGCCAAGTCAGTGTTATTCACAGGAGTGTGTGGATGAGAAACATGACAGCAAAGACGCACAGCCAGATACATATACTCTCACATATTTCTCACCATGGCAGTACAAGGACACATACAAGTCTGTATCCAGTAAAGACAATGGACAGACACTGTCCATTAGAACCTTGGAAACTGGAAAGTATAACTGGGCTTCTAAATTACCAAAAATATTCAATGATATTCAAGAGAAAGAAGACAAGAGGAGTGGATGTGGCAGCAGAGAGGAGTTCCAAGTCAGTTGTAAGAATTGCCCTCCATGGCACTGGGAAATCCTCCTCAACCAATCTTCAGTCAAGCCTTGTAGTGAGAGTGAGAGAAGGGAAGACAAACGAAATCACTCAGAGGACCGGTATGGAACACGATCTTGGGAACAAAGAGAGCAGTTTCTCTTAAAACATTCAATTCTGCAGGCACTGAGATGGGTTAGTAATTTCACTTACTTTTTTTGCTATTTATGGCTAAAATTAGATTTTTCAAGTGGTTTGTGAGTGGTTATACATCACATACCCTCCAAGGTGTCTTGATGCTTCAGTGAAGGGCTCTTAACCCAAGGAATAGGAGTTACCTCCCCTTGGATCAAACCTGATTGCCACCCTCTCCCAGGGCAGTGTTTGATTACTATATGTTTAGCATCTTATAGGAATATAAATGCACTACAGTAATCATCCTAATGGTCTTTGTAGACCATTATGAAGATCTTTAAAAAATAAAAAGGCACAATTCCGTGCCTGAACAAAACACAAATAGCCCGCATATAGCAGAATGAAACTAATGATGCCATTTTTGTCAAAATCAGAGCGAAACATGCCAAGTTTCATTCTCTTATGTGCGGGGTATTAGCGAAATGCAGGTTTTTATTTTTTTATTCATTGACTATTAAGTGCTTCCCCCTCCAGGACTCATGACTGATCTACCAGTTTCTCTGAATTCCTTCATAAATATTGCCTTGCTCACACTCCAGCAGCACATCATATCATAAAAAATTTGCCTCCACTCCTTTCTAACATTCTTCACACAAACCTGTTGGATGTCCAAGCCCCTAGCACTCAAAACCTCCTTTACCCTCCCCCTCTTAGACCATTCTTGGGATGCCTCTACCCTCCATACCTTTTCCTTAGATTTATTCACCCTCCTGGTTTCTTGTTTTGCATCATCCTCTCTGAATGTCTAAACCACCTCAGGAACCTCTTCCCAGCCTGCTGAATAATACTTTATAGTAACCCTGCACTTTCTGATTTCCAGGCTCTGAAATCTCTGCATAATATTCACACTACACATTGCCCACAACCACGACATCACCACTGTCTCCTGCCTTTTTGCTGCAACTTTTAAAACCCATACTTCACACCCACTAAACTGCATTGGCACCACTATACTGTGGTGCTTCCCATTTTTTGCCCCATTTGTTAAGGTCTTTTTCTCCACAGATGCCTCAGTGCACCACCCACCTTTTTTCCCCTCATCAGTTCTGTGGTTCACCTCATCTTTCATAGATCCATCTGCCAACAAGTTCACTTACAAATTCAGTTTAGTCCGTACTTTACACTTGGGTAGCAGTGAGTGCCACTGTTGCTCTTGTTATTTAAATTAAAGCAGCATCCCTTGTCCTACCCATGTAGAAAACGTGTTTCTGTTACACCATGCAGGCAATCTCATCTGTTTCTTCTCTGGAAATGTTAGGCAATACTGATTCATACAGGAACATAAACTATACTAAAGGTAATATGAGAAAATATTTAAGAGGTATTCATCAATAAAGATTAATTGATATGAAGATAAAACAAAACATTGTCTAACATTTTTATTTTTTAACACATTTGCCATTTCTCACTGAGGCAGAGCGACCCAAAAAAGAAAGAAACACTCACACATAACTGCTGTCTTTGCAGAGGTGCTCAGATATGACAGTTTAGATGTCACTCCAAGCAGCCAATATCCCAAGCCCCTCCTTTAAAGTGCAGGTATTGTACTTCTCACAACATATTTTTAATAATTTGGGTACCTAGAAAGGCATATAGAATAATAAAAAATTAATATTCTTGCTGTAGACCCTTGTGGGTTAGGGGTTTAAAAGTTAACTGGACTTGAGTCCTGGAGGTGGAGTGGTAGGGATGTTGCGGTTGGAGGGTAGTGTGAAATGTGATATCATCACACTTCTGGAAAGAGGGTGATTGAATGAATATATGTGAACATGGTTTTTTCTGATGGTTACCCTGCCTTGGTTGGAGACTTACGTTGAGCTAATTTAAAGGGAAATAATGATAGGTTGTTTATCAACAGGGCTCTGCAGTTGCACTGACATGGTCTTTGTACCATGACTGGGGCAGTCAACGATGCAAGAATCCCCTCTACAAACATAAGACACAAGAGCAGCTGTACTCAAGTAACAAGACACAAACAATAAAATCATTGTATAATGAAGCAGATCACAAAGAAAGTGGCAACAAGAACTGCAGTAGTGAAGAGCGTTCACACAGCAAGGACAACATGTGCAATCGCTGCACGCAACATGAAAGTCATCGACCAGATGTTGAGCCTGTATATAATAGTCTTGTGGGAAGCCATTCTCCTTTTAGTTTCCTCTGGAACATTATTTCAAATCAAAATAAATTAACAAATCAAATATTTACTAAGTCAGCATTAAAGGACAAGCCCCCAGACAGCATATTAAATGATATTGTTATCCCAGATATTCATTCGCAAGTCCAAAATTTCCAAGGTCACAGTACCAGTGAAGAGTCACTGACACAAATATGCGAAATTGTAACTGCATCTTCAGTACCAACAGAAACTCAGTTTATGCAATATACTCATCCCATACAAAGTGAAGACTTACATTTTGAGGATTCTGAAGGCTGCTTGGCCTCTGAGTTGCTTGAAAAGTCACAGGCCTCAAATCTTGAACAAGAATATTCCCAAAACAGCCATGTCAATAAACAAAATATCCTTCCTGATAATAACAAGGATAAGGGAAACTTGGATATAGGATGTACAAAGGCCATCAAAGAAACTAGAGAGCAAAACTGGGAATCTATCTCAGTTTCTGCCAAGCCTTTAAAATGCTCTTTGAAAAACGAGATGAAACTACAAGACTTAATATATGGGGAGAGTGAGCTGTCTGCTGGAGCAGGTGGTTCATCTGAGCATCCTCACCAAAATATTGGCATTACAGAATTCAATGACAGTTTCATGGAGGTACAGTATTTTATTGTTCATAATGTTCATTTTACCCAACTACAGGTGATCCTCAACTTACGATGGGGTTACGTTCCAGTGAACCCATCATATGTTAAAAATGTAAGCAAAATATGAATAAATGTAAGCAAAATAAATGTAAGCAAAATATGTAATAAATAACTACTGTTACTTAATAAGTAAATAAACAAATAATTACTGTAACTAACTAAATACCAGTATTGAAAAGTAAATAAATGAATACAAGTTTATCCTTTCAATAAATGTGTAGTACTGAACGTGCATTACTGTCGCACCATTGTAAAGTTGAAATAAGTCAATAAACAAATGATTACTATAACTATATACCAGTACTGAAAACATGTATCACTATCATGAGGAGCACTTGTACAACTCATCTTTGATATACCTTCGATGAGTTCTGAGAATTTTTCTACTCCTTTAATAGTGCATTTTGAACACATGTTTTTATAAAAAAAATATATTGCTTATGGGTATTTAAAAATATTGCTAACATTGTCTGATGAGTTTTGTTATTGAAATAAAAATTATCACTGTTGTATACATTGCTACATGCAGAAAGGAAAATTTTGGTTTTTCGTTTTAGGTAACCCTGCCTCAGTGGGAGATGGCCAGTGTGTTGAAAATTTTTATTGTATTTTTATTTTTATTATTATTATTATTATTATTATTTTTTTTTTTTTTTTTTTTTTTTTTTTTTTAACAAGTCGGCCGTCTCCCACCGAGGCAGGGTGACCCAAAAAAAGAAAGAAAATCCCCAAAAAGAAAATACTTTCATCATCATTCAACACTTTCACCTCACTCACACATAATCACTGTTGCTGCAGAGGTGCTCATGACACAACAGTTTAGAAGCATATACCTATAAAGATACACAACATATCCCTCCAAACTGCTAATATCCCGAACCCCTCCTTTAGAGTGCAGGCATTGTACTTCCCATTTCCAGGACTCAAGTCCGGCTTTATAAAAATAACCGGTTTCCCTGAATCCCTTCACTAAATATTACCATGCTCACACTCCAACAGATCGTTAGGTCCCAAATACCATTTGTCTCCATTCACTCCTATCTAACACGCTCAGGCACACTTGCTGGAAGTCCAAGCCCCTCGCCCACAAAACCTCCTTTACCCCCCTCCATCCAACCTTTACGAGGACGACCCCTACCCCGCCTTCCTTCCCCTACAGATTTATACGCTCTCCATGTCATTTTACTTTGATCCATTCTCTCTAAATGACCAAACCACCTCAACAACCCCTCTTCAGCCCTCTGACTAATACTTTTATTAACTCCACACCTTCTCCTAATTTCCACACTCCGAATTTTCTGCATAATATTTACACCACACATTGCCCTTAGACAGGACATCTCCACTGCCTCCTACCGCCTCCTCACTGCTGCATTCACAACCCAAGCTTCACACCCATATAAGAGTGTTGGTACTACTATACTTTTATACATTCCCTTCTTTGCCTCCATTGATAACGTTTTTTGTCTCCACATATACCTCAACACACCACTCACCTTTTTTCCCTCATAAATTCTATGATTAACCTCATCCTTCATAAATCCATCCGCCGACACGTCAACTCCCAAGTATCTGAAAACATTCACTTCTTCCGTACTCCTCCTCCCCAATTTGATATCAAATTTTTCTTTATCTAAATCATTTGATACCCTCATCACCTTACTCTTTTCAATGTTCACTTTTAACTTTCTACCTTTACACACACTCCCAAACTCATCCACTAACCTTTGCAATTTTTCTTTAGAATCTCCCATGAGCACAGTATCATCAGCAAAAACCAACTGTGTCAATTCCCATTTTGTATTTGATTCACCATAATTTAATCCCACCCCTCTCCTGAACACCCTAGCATTTCTTTTACAACCTCATCTATAAATATATTAAACAACCATGGTGACATTACACATCCCTGTCTAAGACCTACTTTTACCGGGAAGTAGTCTCCCTCTCTTCTACACACCCTAACCTGAGCCTCACTATTCTCATAAAAACTCTTTACAGCATTTAGTAACTTACCACCTATTCCATATACTTGCAACATCTGCCACATTGCTTCCCTATCCACTCTATCATATGTCTTTTCTAAATCCATAAGTGCAGTAAAAACTTCCCTACCTTTATCTAAATACTGTTCACATATATGCTTCAATGTAAACACTTGATCTACACATCCCCTACCCACTCTGAAACCTCCTTGCTCATCTGCAATCCTACATTCTGTCTTACCACTAATTCTTTCAATTATAACCCTACCGTACATTTTTCCTGGTATACTCAGTAAACTTATTCCTCTATAATTTTTACAATCTCTTTTGTCCCCCTTCCCTTTATATAAAGGGACTATACATGCTCGTTGCCGATCCCTAGGTACCTTCCCCCTCTTTCATACATTTATTAAACAAAAATACCAACCACTCCAACAGTATATCCCCCCCTGCTTTTAACATTTCTGTCATGATCCCATCAGTTCCTGCTGCTTTACCCCCTTTCATTCTACGTAATGCCTCACGCACCTCCCCCACACTCACATCCTGTTCTTCTTCACTCCTAAAAGATGGTATACCTCCCTGGCCAGTGCATGAACTTACCGCTTCCCTTTCTTCGTCGACATTTAAAAGTTCCTCAAAATATTCTCGCCATCTACCCAAAACCTCCATCTCCCCATCTACTAATTCCCCTACTCTGTTTTTAACTGACAAATCCATTCGTTCTCTAGGCTTTCTTAACTTGTTTAACTCCAAAATTTTTTCTTATTTTCCTCAAAATTCCTTGACAGTGCCTCTCCCACTCTATCATCTGCTCTCCTTTTGCACTCTTTCACCACTCTCTTTACCTTTCTTTTACTTTCCATATACTCTACTCTTCTTATAACACTTCTACTTTGTAAAAACCTCTTATAAGCTAACTTTTTCTCTTTTATCACACCCTTTACTTCATCATTCCACCAATCACTCCTCATTCCTCCTGCACCCACTCTCCTATAACCACAAACTTCTGCCCCACATTCTAATACTGCATTTTTAAAACTATTCCAACCCTCTTCAACCCCCCACTACTCATACTTGCACCAGCCCACCTTTCTGCCAATAATTGCTTATATCTCACCCAAACTTCCTCCTCCCTTAGTTTATACACTTTCACCTCCTTGCTTGTTGTTGCCATTTTCCTCTTTTCCCACCTACCTCTTACTCTAACTGTAGCTACAACTAAATAATGATCCGTTATATCAGTTGCCCCTTTATAAATGTGTACATCCTGGAGCCTACCCATCAACCTTTTATTCACCAATACATAATCTAACAAACTACTTTCATTGCATGCTCTATCATACCTTGTATATTTATTTATCCTCTTCTTCATAAAATATGTATTACTTATTACCAAACATCTTTCTACACATAGCTCAATTAAAGGCTCCCCATTTTCATTTACCCCTGGAACCCCGAAATTACCTACTACTCCCTCTACAAAATTTTTGCCCACTTTAGCATTGAAATCCCCAACCACCATTACTGTCACACTTGGTTCAAAACTCCCCACGCATTCACTCAACATTTCCCAAAATCTCTCTCTCTCCTCTACACTTCTCTCTTCTCCAGGTGCATATGTGCTTACTATAACCCACTTTTCACATCCAACCTTTATTTTACTCCACATAATCCTTGAATTAATATATTTGTAGTCCCTCTTTTCCTGCCATAACTTATCCTTCAACATTATTGCTACTCCTTCTTTAGCTCTAACTCTGTTTGAAACCCCTGACCTAATCCCATTTATTCCTCTCCATTGAAACTCTCCCACCCCCTTCAGCTTTGTTTCACTTAAAGCCAGGACATCCAGCTTCTTGTTCATAACATCCACAATCATCCCTTTCTTATCATTTGCACAACATCCACACACATTCAAACTTCCCACTATGACAATTTTCTTCTTCTTATTCTTTTTAGTAATTATTACAGGAAAAGGGGTTACTAGCCCATTGTTCCTGGCATTTTAGTTGACTTTTACAACATGCATGGCTTACAAAGGAAAGATTCTTATTCCACTTCCCCATGGATATAAAAGGAAAAGTAATAAGACCAAGAACTATTAAGATAAAATCAAAGAAAACTCAGGTGAGTGTTTATAAATAAACATGTACATGTATGTGTAGTGTGACCTAAGTGTAAGTAGAAGTATCAAGACATACCTGTAATCTTGCATGTTTATGAGACAGACAAAAGACACCAGCAATCCTACCATCATGTAAAACAATTACAGGCTTTCGTTTCACACTCACTTGGCAGGACGGCAACCACCTCCCTGGGTGGTTGCTGTCTACCAACCTACTACCTATAATTCTTCTTTCTTTCAACACACCGGCCGTATCCCACCGAGGCGGGGTGGCCCAAAAGGAAAAACGAAAGTTTCTCCTTTTACATTTAGTATTATATACAGGAGAAGAGGTTACTAGCCCCTTGCTCCCGGCATTTTAGTCGCCTCCTACAACACGCACGGCTTACGGAGGAAGAATTCTGTTCCACTTCCCCATGGAGGTAAGAGGAAATAAACAAGAATAAGAACTAGAAAGAAAAATAGAAGAAAGCTCAGAGGTGTGTGTATATATGCTTGTACATGTATGTGTAGTGTGACCTAAGTGTAAGTAGAAGTTGCAAAACATACCTGAAATCTTGCATGTTCATGAGACAGAAAAAAGGACACCAGCAATCCTACCATCATGTAAAACAATTACAGGCTTTCATTTTACACTCACTTGGCAGGACAGTAGTACCTCCCTGGGTGGTTGCTGTCTACCAGCATACTACCTAAATTATTATTATTATTATTATTATTATTATTATTATTATTATTATTATTATTATTTATTAACACATCTGCCATTTCCCACCAAGACAGGGGTGGCCTGAAAAAGAAAAAGCTTTCATCATTGTTCATTCTATCATTGTCTTG